TTATAAAGGCATTTGTATGGTACCTATATTGGCATATGAATGGTACTTATATGGGCATTTATGGTACTTATAAGGGCATATGTATGGTAGTTATAAGGGTATATGTATGATACTTATAAGAACATATGTATTGTTCTTATAAGGGCATAAGTATGGTACCTTTTTGGGCATATGTATGTTACTTATAAGAGCTTTTGTATGGTACCTCAATGGGCATATGTATTGTTCTTATATGGGCATATGTATGACACTTATATGGGATTGAGTATGGTACCTTTATGGGTATGTGTTTGGTACTTATGTACTTACGTACCTCTATGGTACTTACGTACCTTTTACCTTACACAGACAGTCATCCGTATTTTATAGATATAGAAGATAGACAATGATTAAATCAAGTAATAAAAACTTGACCAGCGGACGAAGACAAAGATGGGGTACATACAGCCCGCCGCCTGCAAAGAATCCGAGCCCTGGCGAAATCGTCATTTTTCACAAAACTCAAAATCAAAACCAGCCATAGAATCGTTTTGAAAATGGTACCATTGTGTTTACCACAGCAATTTACCTTTCTTTCTGTAAAGGCTTTCTTTGCTAATTTTAAATATTAACGCCTATACAGCCATATTTACTGAGATACAGCCACCTCAAATATCAAACCTATCATCGTGTTTTCTCAACAAATTACTAAGGAAAATGAGTTTTAAAAAATGTAATAATAATCAAAATGAGCTAAATAATAAATGGATAATCAAAATAACATTATATCAATATTCCTCATGTATTTAGAGACTACTATGCATGGTGCGTATATGGGCATATGTATGCTACTTATAAAGGCATTTGTATGGTACCTATATTGGCATATGAATGGTACTTATATGGGCATTTATGGTACTTATAAGGGCATATGTATGGTAGTTATAAGGGTATATGTATGATACTTATAAGAACATATGTATTGTTCTTATAAGGGCATAAGTATGGTACCTTTTTGGGCATATGTATGTTACTTATAAGAGCTTTTGTATGGTACCTCAATGGGCATATGTATTGTTCTTATATGGGCATATGTATGACACTTATATGGGATTGAGTATGGTACCTTTATGGGTATGTGTTTGGTACTTATGTACTTACGTACCTCTATGGTACTTACGTACCTTTTACCTTACACAGACAGTCATCCGTATTTTATAGATATAGAAGATAGACAATGATTAAATCAAGTAATAAAAACTTGACCAGCGGACGAAGACAAAGATGGGGTACATACAGCCCGCCGCCTGCAAAGAATCCGAGCCCTGGCGAAATCGTCATTTTTCACAAAACTCAAAATCAAAACCAGCCATAGAATCGTTTTGAAAATGGTACCATTGTGTTTACCACAGCAATTTACCTTTCTTTCTGTAAAGGCTTTCTTTGCTAATTTTAAATATTAACGCCTATACAGCCATATTTACTGAGATACAGCCACCTCAAATATCAAACCTATCATCGTGTTTTCTCAACAAATTACTAAGGAAAATGAGTTTTAAAAAATGTAATAATAATCAAAATGAGCTAAATAATAAATGGATAATCAAAATAACATTATATCAATATTCCTCATGTATTTAGAGACTACTATGCATGGTGCGTATATGGGCATATGTATGCTACTTATAAAGGCATTTGTATGGTACCTATATTGGCATATGAATGGTACTTATATGGGCATTTATGGTACTTATAAGGGCATATGTATGGTAGTTATAAGGGTATATGTATGATACTTATAAGAACATATGTATTGTTCTTATAAGGGCATAAGTATGGTACCTTTTTGGGCATATGTATGTTACTTATAAGAGCTTTTGTATGGTACCTCAATGGGCATATGTATTGTTCTTATATGGGCATATGTATGACACTTATATGGGATTGAGTATGGTACCTTTATGGGTATGTGTTTGGTACTTATGTACTTACGTACCTCTATGGTACTTACGTACCTTTTACCTTACACAGACAGTCATCCGTATTTTATAGATATAGAAGATAGACAATGATTAAATCAAGTAATAAAAACTTGACCAGCGGACGAAGACAAAGATGGGGTACATACAGCCCGCCGCCTGCAAAGAATCCAAGCCCTGGCGAAATCGTCATTTTTCACAAAACTTTGCTAATTTTAAATATTAACGCCTATACAGCCATATTTACTGAGATACAGCCACCTCAAATATCAAACCTATCATCGTGTTGATGGCGCTCACTTGACACTGGCGTTGGTGACTAAGCCACCAACGCATTATATGGTTTAATTACTTTATTATGGCTCTAGTATATATTCTGTGCCGTAAGGGTTACAGAGGCACATATAATGGGTTCAGATTCATGGTTACAGAGGCGTATATAATGGGATTATATTCTGGGTTATAGAAGCACATATAAGGGGGGTCCAGATTCTGGGTTATAGACACATATAATGGGTTCAAACTCTTGAGCAGTGTTTCTTTTACCTAATTAGTTTAGTGAAGCTCAACAATTTGCATTTTATATATTAGTTATCATGCACACCACACAATTATCTACATATTTTCTTGGGGGGAGGGAAGCCAAGGGAGGAGGGAATAAAGAGGGAGGAGAGGGTAAGGAGACTAAAAGTGAGAGAAGGGAAAGAAAGAAGGGATGAAAGAGGGAGGAATGGAATTGGGGAGAAACGAGTGTGCGGAGGCAGAATATTTCAATAATTGTTTGACTAGAAATTACTAGTGAGTTTTGATATGAAGGGGTGCTATACATATATCTAGTGAGGGTGCTGTGTGCACATATGTAGTATGTAGATGTGCTTATCAAGTCTTATTGGGGTTTTAAGCCCCGTGTCAGTGCACGATTACAGAATGGTCTGGAGAATACAATCAATCACTATTTTGTTTACAAAGCTGCTGCTGGGTTCTCTTGACTGGGTAATCAGAACATGAAGATGATTTATCAACTTTCACATGCATTTATAGACATTTATTAAGAATATTAATAATAATGTTCTAATGTTCTCGCCAAAAGAGTGAGAGTTCTTGAAGAGTACACAGAATTACAGATGTATGTTAGCTCTGATAGAGTCCAATTTCACCAGAATTGATGAAATATTTATTGCAATCCATGTTATCAGTAGTTATATGAATGATGTACCTGCTTCCTTCCCAGCCCATCCACGTAAGGTTTCCCAACGTCAAGAAAAAGGTCAAATTAAACTGTCCTCTCTTAAGCTGGCAAAGGACCAATACCCGAAAATAGGACAATACATCACTTTACTTGCCACTTCCATTTTCTAGTACAGTACGACAATTTTTGGCCTTGTGTAACACATAGAATCGAAATGCAACGTTCTCATATGCATGCTTAAGGAGGGAAGAATGAATAACATGCCAGAGGAAGACAGAACTACAGGAAGCTGAGAAGTCTTTTTAAAGTTAATCCAGTGGGATGACGAGCTACAGGAAAAGTAAACAAATGAAATTATGTGGAACATAATGTGGGGGGGCCTCGTAGCCTGGTGGATAGCGCGCAGGACTCGTAATTCTGTGGCGCGGGTTCGATTCCCGCACGAGGCAGAAACAAATGGGCAAAGTTTCTTTCACCCTGAATGCCCCTGTTACCTAGCAGTAAATAGGTACCTGGGAGTTAGTCAGCTGTCACGGGCTGCTTCCTGGGGGTGGAGGCCTGGTCGAGGACTGGGCCGCGGGGACACTAAAGCCCCGAAATCATCTCAAGATAACCTCAAGATAACTATAACATAACACTTAAGTGCCACAGAATATATCACTCACATATGGTTATATGAATGATGTACCTGCTTCCTTCCCAGCCTATTCACGTAAGGTTTCCCAACGTCAAGAAAACAGTCAAATTAAACTGTCCTCTTTTAACCTAACAAAGGACCAATACCAGAAAACGTGGTGGTATAAATTAACTGTGGTGTGTATGTGGGCCTGCGGGCCGCTCCAAGCAACAGTCTGGTGGACCAAACTCTCACAAGTCAAGTCGTCTGGCCCTGGGCCGGGCTTGGGGAGTAGAAGAACTCCCAGAACCCCATCAACCAGGTATCACTCAGGAAGGAAGTAGTAAAACACACTATACTTCTGTCCTCAATGACTGTCTTGCCTATGATGTAGTCATGTGCATTAACTACCGTAGCCTAAGAAATTATCTAAAATCCCAAATGAATTTTCAATAGCCTCTGCTACTTCCTCTCCTATCGTTTCATCTCATTACTTCGTAGTCTTCTATATGGAAGGACCATATATCCATTAAATTGTTGTAACTTTTGTTTCTGTAATTGCAATAATGTGCATATAGTACTGAGGTACAGTATTATAAAGGCTTATCATGATTAGGTAGTAAAATAAATAGTACAGTACTGTACAGTACTTGCCATTTGCTTTAAGTTAATTAGAAATCATCAACTCTTCCTTTACTTTTATTCTAAGTTTATCATGGGAGGGGGTAGTGGGCACAATACTTCTGTGATGGCACAGAAGTGCAGTCACTGAATGGTAGCTGAGGTTAATCATGTGACCATGATACCACTACCTGATACTATTTAAATAATGTAACATAATACTGATTGCATGAAAAGTTTTCATAAATAATATTGTACTAATTCAATTTGCCAGGGACAGGAAGCCTGAATATGTACTTCAGGCTTGTATTGAGGTCCCCATCCCTAGCCCTAGATCAAACTACTGACCATCTCTTGGATGCAACCCTAGAATAGCTGCCTCACTTCTAAGAAACTGAGATGTTATAAAGGAGACATTTGATATGAGCTAGAAAAGGATAAAAATTATCTGGAGAACAAGGAATGATTTAAGATCTGAGCTAATGAAGAGTTCAAAATTTTGTGAACAGATGCAGAATATATACTGTACATAGGAATAAAATACTATATACCTGGAATACAAGTTTTATTGCAAATTATACAGGTACAGAACATGTAAATAAAATAGCACCTTAGGTCCATTTAAGATATTTATTTATTTAGGTTTTCAACAGAGCTATAAGCAATACAATCAAGTTTCAGTTTCTTCATTTTGAAGGATACTATGAATATACCTTTCAGCCTCTCCTCGCTTGTCAAGCCTTGTCACCTTCCCTGTGAAGCGTGATTTTCCTCCACCTCGCCCTTCTAAAATCTCACACAGTCTGAAAAAGATTTTAGGTATATGAAATACTTTTTTATTCACTTTAATTGTCAAAAGACTCCAACTTGGGCTTTAAAAGCACAAGACCATTGTCATACAAATCAAGTCATAGATACTCACAATAAGGAGGAATTTCAGAAGTACCTAATCAGTATCAAACTGAAACTTGAAAATCATCCCTGGAGCACTACTAAGTTATCTAGAAATATATATTCCCTTCGTCTTTATTATAAAAAGAAGCAAACCCAAAATGTTTGCTTATCATAAAGATGAGATGGCCTAGCAAATGGCTTATCTTTTCAAGCATTTTGTTCAGGGTAATGATTTTCAAAACAAGAACATCTAGATAAATATGATGAATTAAGTGGAGAAAAATGAGCTATTAAATATATATAAACTTATTTTTTTCTAAACAAATATAACCATAGTATATACTGTACCTACATACCCAGTACAACTGTATATTTAATTCAGTTACACTTTTACTTACAGTAAATTGCAAAAATTACAGAATACATTTATATTACAAATGCCATAGTTTTCATACTACAGTAATTAGTGTGAATAATGTCAAAGTATAACTTACACCCACACACAGTAAGTAGCCAGCAGCTGTAAAACAGGGGCCAGATTCACGAAAGCACTTACGCAAGCACTTACGTACATGTACATCTTTCCTCAATCTTTGACGGCTTTGTTTACATTTATTAAACAGTTTACAAGTATGAAAACTTCCCAGTCAACTGTTGTTATTGTTATAAACAGCCTCCTGGTGCTTCGGTGCTCATTAACTGTTTAATAATTGGAAACAAAGCCGCCAAAGATTGAGAAAAGATGTACAGGTTCGTAATTGCTTGCGTAAGTGCTTTCGTGAATCTGGCCCCTGGCTTCTCAGACCATCACTATTGTAAGAATTATTTTAACCATTTTATCTTTTTCAAGTTACTTTATATAATTGAAAGGATGATATTCATAGTGCTGATGCTGCACCCCTAAACTGTGGCAAAAACCACTTGTAGAGTTACTTGTTACAGTACAGGGAGGCTTAAAAATGACAAGAGCCTGACGTGTCAACAATGTCCAGGGTTGACCCTTGTTAGAGGCCTATCTAAAAGGCCCTGTTTAGAAAATAATTTTAGAAAAATATATAAAAATATGAAAGTGGAATGTAAGAAGAATAAAAGTGCCATACAAGAACAATGAATGGCACCTGCAAAATAATGGAAAAACCAATTCCAAATACCAGCCCGTATAATAATTTACCTTGGTCCTACTTTAGTAACAAGAGTAGGGGGGCCATGTACTACCAGTAGTCCAGGCCCTTTATCTTCACCAGCTGTCAACATCTTGAGCACACACTGTCAAGAAACAAAATTTTTAATCCATAATATAATGTCTGGAGCACTAGAACCTTCTTCACAGGAACAATATGTTATACTGTACCCCATAGGTTGCGCAACTAAAGAAATAATCATATCTATATTAAAAAGCTAACTTTATTCTTTCCTAATTAAAAATTTAATTATGATCTAATGGGGCAAACAGTAAAGTTAATATTGTAGTTTTAAGTTTTAACAAGAATAAACACAATGTGCTTTAACATAATATACTGTCGTTTAATAAAAAAAAAAAAACTGAATACCTATAAGCTACCCAAGGTTCAATTTCTGTTATCTTGAATGCTCTATTCCATCTAATTAATTCAGAGGAATACCTATTTATCATCATATACAAATTTGAGCATTGCTGTACATCATCTTCCGTCAAGATAAACACACACACTATTATTTAAACACAATAAACAATTAAACTAATTTACCTCATCATCTATCTCATTAATAATGGCACTGAGGTAATCCATATCTCCATCTCTTCGATGATGAAAGTACACCTGAGGTCTTGGATGCTGAGCCAGAAATTTTTGTCCCTCGGAGACTGCCAAGTCTTTCAAGGCATCTCGTAGGGACTTTAGAGCACCTACCAAGAGACAGCAAATTACATTAATTCATTCTCAATATTTTTGTGCAATAACAATACAGTGGTAACATTTACAATCAAAATGAATTGCAATTTTGGGTTAGATATAATATTTTTTTTTAGTTAACTTTAACAGAAGAGTCAAATATGAAAGGGGAGAATGCATTGTGATAGAACATGCAATTCCTTCATGCAACATGGTGGTGATACTCCAATAGGCAGTAAAGAAAATGGTGGTCTATTCATACACTTATTTAAATAAGCAGTTAGAAATAAGTATGAATATGCCTAACTAGTAGGAAAGAAAAGGAGGAAAATGCTAATTAACAACAAATTAAGGTTATAAAATTAACACTCTTTTCAAAGAAATCTTTATTAGTGCTAATATAACTAATGAATGTAGGCATAATTATTACCAATTACCTTTTCTAATTGTGAACTCATGATTCCTATTCTAAATATTCTTTTTCAAGCATAAGCCCCTCACTTACTATTAAGATGTATAGTATATTTCAAAATAGCCTACACACAAAAATTATTATTGGGGAACTTTAGTTCCACTGTGCCAAAAGCCTCTTTCTTATTTCAACACCTTTATCTTGCTCCTATATTTTCATGCCATAAAAAAATCCCCTCTACATGGCTCAGAAATTGAAAGAAAGAGTTCAAAAGGGTGATGATGAGCAATGAGACTCATATCCCTAAGACCACTATATACAGGTAAATAGAAAAAGAAATGCTGAACCAAATTTGTTATGACCTTATACTGTACTAAACATGAAAATTATAAATATTGAAAATCACATATCATACCTTTGAGGTCTTTTTGTATTTTCTCCACAAGGCGCAGGTGATCAGATGGACATGAGTGTAACAGTGTGTTCAATTGGCGCTCTCGTGTGACACAGCTTCCCAAGTACCTAAGTTTAAATACAGTACTGTTAGTTTGAAAAACTAAAGTCAAGGTAATGAGCGATTTTGCTATGATAATACTGTGCAGTACTTGTATAAACAAATAAATCACATACAAATCTTATAAAACTGCACATTTATACACTTCAGGATAAAAAGGTTAAAAAGAGGAAAAGGGAGAAGGATAAAAAACAATACCAGCATTGAATGTAATTAAATGCCTCTTTCTGGTGAGTCCTTGGGGGCTCCTTGTTGCTAGCAACAAGGAGCCTTTTTAAATACTTTAGTCAATATCATGTCATGTTTTATATTAACAAAATGCAACAAAAGTCACAAACTCCCTACTTAAGAACTCTAGTTCCAGCCACAAAGTAGAGTAGAGTCTTGTTAGCCTTCCCTTTCTCTGTGTGTAGCAACTTGATGGTCTGCAGATCTGCCAGATTATGTACATGTGTACCACAGCACATGTTGGTATCTACATTCTCGATGGTTACAACACGCACAGGACCCACAACATCATCTGGTAAGCCGCGGGTTCGAATCTGTTAATTGTAAAGAAAATGTTTGATCCAAAAGGTATACTGATTAAAGAATCTTAAAATAAAGGCCATCAGGTATTGAACAATTTCTGCTGCAGATGCTCTGCTTAAGTGTGATGATGTTGAATCTATGATGCAGATAAGTATGGAAGATATGGGGACAAATGTATTTTTAGTATCTTTGAGTTTCTTTCCTTAGGTTACTCTAATACTTACCTCTGGGCTGTTGCTTCTTAAGAAAATGGAAAATGGGGTATTGAAAGTGATTATGAAAATTCTACAAAGTTAATACACAGAACAGAATATGATTAGGTTACATAAAAAAGCACAACATGATGCCCAACTCTGCTTTACAGGTTGGGACCTCAAAACTAACGTACTGCATACATTTGAACATAACATGACATTAACAGACCTCCTTTAGCTTAGGGTCTGTAGCATCATATTCTGTTATGTGAACTGGTGTAGCATCTCTGATTCTCCAGTTAACAGCTTCTTCAATTGCACTCATTTCCTCTGTGGAAATCCTCTCAGTGTCCAATTCAATGTACGAAACAGACTCTGCCAAATACCAGGAACTTGTTGCATAGCCATACATAGCGTCAGCTACAGCTGTGAAGAACAAAAAGTTATTTAAATTAAAATACAAATATAGAAAGATTATAAACTACTTGAATCTTAAATATTTTGTTATTTCAGGTAATAACAATTTAATAAAAATATGTAAAGCAAGGAAAATAAGTATGATGCATTCCTATAACTCTTACCAATGAAATATTAAAATAGATAAATAGATACTGTAGACTGTAGACTGATGTACAGTAATGACATGGATGAGGAAAAAAGTACTGCAGAGAAGCCCTTACATAGTACGAGAGATGAGTTCAGGGAAATCTTTGTGCTAAACGAAATTACACTACTCGAAGTTGATGTTACTATAAATGGAAGAAATATTGTAGTATTTCTCCGACCTCCCGAAGTCACCCATTTTCCACAGATATTTCAATAAAACACTGTCCAAAACATTGTTACTGAGAACTTGTTTCTTGAAACATCATGGGCAGTGGTCAGTGCATCCAGGTCAAAATCAAAAGGTCACAGGTTAAATTTTGCCAGCAGGACTGAAAAGATTGGCACATTTCCCTTCATCTGGCACATCTATTTACCTTGCAGTAAACAGGTATACAAGAATTAAGGAACTGTTTTGGGTTGAATTTTGGAGAAGGTCATCAGTTGTTGGACTAGAGGGACCTTGTTGAGCCAAACAGGCTTCCTGTCCCTGACTATGGAAAACCAAACACTTCTCAGAGAAATACTGAGTTGAGAGTAGACTATCTTGATAGGTGTTTTGCCTGTAAGGGCTTTATGAAACCGATGCATAAAATAGATTTGATCACTCACCAATGATGTACAGAAGATGAGATTAAAATGATGCAAGAATATAATCCAAAATATGAGTAAAACATATGAGTATCACATTTAGGAGGTGCCACAAAGCTAGAATGTTAAAACAAGATGTTAAAACAAAATAAAAATGCAAACTTGCACCGTAAGTCACTTGTTTGCTCATTTTTTATATTGTTTTCCTATTAAAGGCTATGATCGTGCCAAAAAAAATTCACACTGTGAAAGCCTCATGATAAACAGGGATCTACTGTACAGTATTATTAAAACGTAATGTTACCAAAAATACTTTTATTTCAGATTGACAGATATAAAACCACTTGGCAACCTCTCCAAAGTTTACCTGTGATGAGATGCTGGGCTGAATGTTGCTGCATGTGATCATGTCTGCGTGTCCAATCAATCTCCTGGGTGACAGATGCTCCCACTTCAAGGGGTTTCTCCAAGTAGTGAATAGCTTCACCCCCTCTTCGTAGAACACGTAATACAGGAATTCCCTCAATTAAACCTCGGTCATCTGGCTAGAAAAGAAAAGTTTAAATGACAAAACCTGGAGTGTTACAGGTGTGACCTAAGCTATGCATGCTGCATGCAAGGTATTAAAGAGGGAATTGAACATGGAACCTCCAGGTTTTAACCAGACTGCACTTCCCGTAACATCATGGGGTAAATTAGAAATATATGCTTATTTCCTTTATTATATACTGTAGTAAGGCAAGGAAATTATATAAAAAACAATAAGTTAGTAAGTCTATACAGAAGTTGGAATGGATACGAGGAAGGCGTGAATGAATTATGCCCAATCACTTGGATCACTGGGGATAAAAAAAAAAAACTGCAAGAAGCAAAGCTGTCAATGTACCTACCAGTTCAAGTGGATGGACATAATATCCAAATATAAAGTCCAAACCTTTTTTTATACTGTGCATAACAAAAGATACTTGAATATTTTTGTTACCTGGTACAGGAAGTTGTACAAAATATTAATATCCCTGAGGAACATAACTTTATATTTAATATGTTAATCACAAGTTTAGATCTGAAATTTACTTTATGTATCCTTCCTTATACCTGATACATAAGCCTTCTGCAGTAAATTATAGAGCAACAAACTTAAATTATCATTATTTTGAGTAACCAAAATTATCATTCATTATTTGCATTTAAATTTGTAAAAAAAAAAAAAAATATTATGCACCTTTTCTCAAAAAGTATTACATGAATATCCTACCTGACCTCCACCTTCAGGAAACATTACTGTGTCTTCGAATGTCATCTCATAGCAGTCAACTTTTTTCTTCTTGCCATTCACTATAATTTCCTGCTTGGCAGGCTTGCATGTTACCACCTTCGTTGAGTACTGTAAAAAGTTAGATTCTCATAATCATGCGATGAAAATACCACTTTAAGTAACCTTTTTCCTTGGAGATAAAAGAAAAAAGAATTATTTATTTATTTATTAACATATAAGTACTGTATATCTGTTGTGAAAGTACTGTACATACATTGGTGATTGAATGTTACATTCTTGCAAAACCACTAACATGCATTACATGTTAAAAGTAATTTTCCATTCCAAATTTTATATACACATGCAAAGATGATTTTTTTAACCATTAAACTAATAAGCCATTATAGTATCCAAACAGCACAACCCTTTATTGGGCCCTATTAAAATTGCACAATATCATCTTGGCCCATATTAAGGTTCCACAAATCATGCTTATTCAGGTAAAATTATATATAGAAATGCTCACATCAAAGCCAAGTGAACTAGAGAGCCATTCTTTAATATAAGGCTTGTGAATATAAGCCCAGTTTTTGTTAGTTCTGGAAATCAATGTCCCCCCTCAGTTAAGGCTCTGATCTGGTCAACCAGGGTGTTAGACACTGCTGCTCACTGTCTGAGCTATGAATCACAGGACCATAGGATGCTGACCTGAGGGCCAGTATCTCTATATTTCTAGTAGCTTTGACTTGGACATAAAAGCCGGTAACTGGATCAAAGGTCCCTTAATTACTCACGAGAATTTTTCCCACCTTAATATTTCCAGTCAGTAACAATAAGAGAAAGAAAAACATTTCTTCATACACTCACCTTCTTCTCATAACAGTAACGCTGACAATAAAACACCATTATTACAGACTTAGTTCTTATTAAAGCCAACGAGAGCTAAGCCGCATATGTTGTTGTTGTTGAAGAGAGTTGGAGGCAGTTATAGCACAGGGCGGTTGTACCCCTAATCCTGTCATGAAGGTTCTTCGTCTTTGTGAACTGTAGGTAGTAACTAAGTGATTGTAACCTATCCACCGCTGTCCACTGGATGGGGGGCGGTGTGCAGGACAAATATATCAATTGTGACACTAGCTCTCCACATATGTCAGTTGCTTAATTTAGAAACTGTACTTGTGGTCGATCTCGAACCCATTGTTGATGTGACGACTTATACTGAATTTTGTAACTAGTTCACCAAGACTGTAACTTGTTTGGCTAAATGAATTGTGGGGTTCAGTCCCTGAGCCCATTATGTGCCTCTGTAACCCTTTCCACTACCGCCCACAATATGGGTATGGAGTGCATAATAAATGAATTAAACTGAACGTCTCTGTGAGTGGCTGCTCGCAGGAAGCTGAACGTCAGATATAAGGCTTTTGAGTTCCACCCATTTGGTATAGTATATTGATTTTGTTAATTTATTATGTATTATATATATCCATCCCATGTGCGGAAGAGATGTTACAGAGGCATTTTAAGACCTCTATTGGGTATTATTTTATATATTCTGTACTTCAAAAGTACGGCATGTATTATTGTACGGAAATTAGGTGCTTATTTGCTTTGCTTTTGAACAAAATATAAGTTTAGAGATTATTTATTTAATTAAGAAAAAAGTTCTATGTTTTACGACTAGTTATTTGTGTTTTAGGCCTATTTATTTGCATGGAATTGTTGCATAGATTTATGAAGAATGTGAGAATATCTATGAGATACTTATTTCTTGTGTTAGCTTCATGGGTTCTATTACATTTCAGTTGGAAAAGTTTTAAATCAAGATTAGTATTGAACTATAGGGCTTTGTGAATGCAAGGAGCACAATTATGATAACTTATTGAGTGTGAATATAAAATATATATATTTTTAAGATAGTTTCAATATTATAAGTTTAAAGACTTATTGCCAAGAGAAAACAAATTCAATTCTCATTCCCCTTTCCACTGCTTTCCTTTCAATATTATAAGTTTAAAGACTTATTGCCAAGAGAAAACAAATGCAATTCTGATCCTTTTCCACTGCTTTCCTCCTTTTTCTTTCTATCCTTTCCCCCTCGTTTCTCTCTCGCTCTCCCCTCTCCTCCTACTTCATGTTCTGTCCTTCTCTCTCTGTCATGTTATCGCATGTTATCGCTTGTTTCAATCTCCAGCGCGGGTCCACTCGCTCCGCTGGGCTGGACCACAAAGGCAACCAAAATAGTGAGCCAGATTGTGATCTTGCGGCCTGTTGCTGCTCCTGGGAAATTCTTGATATTGATGGAAGTGAAGTGCAGAGGGAGAGAGAGAACATTGATTGATGTATTGATTCCTAGATGAATTCTTTGGATCCACGACGAGAGAAGGGAGGAAGGGATCAAGTAAAAACATAAAAGAGCATATAATATATCGTTTTGTCTATAGCTACCGATAAACATTAGATCTACTATCCCTTTAAGATATTTTATTTCAATGTAATGAAACCACATGTGAAAAATAGAGAATGCTTAATGCGTTTTCGGCTTAATTCGCCTTTATCAAAGTAGTCGAATGAAGATGGAAACATTGTTGATCAGACCTTTATACCCGCCAGGGCAGATCACCTGACCACCAAGAAAAGGCGAAGGAAAGGGAACATAAGAAAGAGGGTAACTGCAGAAGGCCTTTTGGCCCATACGAAGCCCCCTATTAATATCCATAACTGGAAGATATATAAAAGTGCCATAACGGATGCTATATTGCTATATAGCATCCATTAAATGGATGCTATATTGTATTGACGTGCTATCTTGACATGTCAGTATTACCAACATATATTGTACATATATTGTATTGCTATTCAAAATATCACGTCAATATCAGAGAGAAAAATATGTAATAGATATAATAGAGGAAAATAGAATGGTTAGAAAGGCGGGGTCCAAGAGCTAACAACTCGATTCTGCAGGTACAACAGTAAATACACACACACACACACAATTCTAAATCAGGATAAAGTCAGCATAAAATCGTTAAGTTACTTAATTTATTACTCACAACAAGAAGCAATAAATAATATACATGTCTATATTTTACAGAAATAAATTCTAAGTATCACATTTAAGAATAAATTCTACTTAGCGTATCTATGATTCTTTGACTAGAGTTAATCTTTGGCATTATTGAGAATAATGACTAGAAAAAAGTAATATACTTTCATAAAGTATACTGGAGATGATTATCATAATTCACGTCTATAATTTGTAATCAAATATAATAATTTCCATTATATAAATTTCTGTTACCTAGAGGTGTTGTTGTTGTCCTAAAAAGTAATTTATATCTGTTGATTTAATAAGATCTCATAGACGTATTGGACTTTACAAGTGAGACTCACGTTGGCAACATGTTCAACGCTACAGAGAGCCGAGTGCTCTCTTGTGCTCCGGACTGTGTCATTTCCAAGTTTCGAGTCCCTGTTCAAAATATGACAGAGCCACCGGACTCCCGAAGAGTCGTCAGTCTTTGTTATCTTATTGTCATGGCTATGAACAAGCGTTATCTCTTGTGCGACGCCACAGCTAGGTGGTGGGTATGTGGGCCTGTGGGCCGCTCCGAGCAATAGCCTGGTGGACCAAACTCTCACAAGTCAAGTCTGGCCCCGGGCCGGGCTTGGGGAGTAGAAGAACTCCCAGAACCCCATCAACCAGGTATCAACCAGGCCTGCTCTTCTCGATCACAACCCTTGTCATGTGAAAACAAATCAATTGGAGGTATAAGGTGAGAGGTTGGGAGGCCCCACGTTGCTGGTTCATATCTCCCACGTGGCTCTAGTGGGTTTTCTCATTTATACATCACGTTAAAGCGATTTCCTTGTGTAACCCCAGATGCACCATTTTCTCTCTCTCCTGTGTGATGCCTCAAAAGTTGGCTTCTCTCCTGTGTGATGCCTCAAAAAATTGGCTTCTCTCCTGTGTGATGCCTCAAAAAATTGGCATCTCTCCTGTGTGATGCCTCAAAAAATTGGCTTCTCTCCTGTGTGATGCCTTAAAAAATTATCTTCTCTCCTGTGTGATGCCTCAAAAGTTGGCTTCTCTCCTGTGTGATGCCTCAAAAAATTGGCTTCTCTCCTGTGTGATGCCTCAAAAAATTGGCAACTCTCCTGTGTGATGCCTCAAAAAATTGGCTTCTCTCCTGTGTGATGCCTCAAAAAATTGGCTTCTCTCCTGTGATGCCTCAAAAAATTGGCTTCTCTCCTGTGTGATGCCTCAAAAAATTGGCTTCTCTCCTGTGTGATGCCTCAAAAAATTGGCTTCTCTCCTGTGTGATGCCTCAAAAAATTGGTTTCTCGCCTGTGTGACGCTTCGAAAAGGTGTTTTCTCTCTCTGTGAACCCTCGAACTGGTGCCTTCTCTCCTGTTTTCCAGGTATTTTTGCCCCCCTCGTGTGACGCCAGCTTCCTATCCCACATCCTCTCCATCAATGGGATCAATTGTTAATGGAGTCTGAAGTGAGGGAGATGGAGGAGAAGATGGACCGTCTGCTGGGACTCACTCCCAGGTTCTCCCAGTTGATCCACGAGAGTCTGGCGGTCAGATCTGTTGGAGAGATGAAGGGTTTATACTTCCTGGCCTCGTGACTTGTCTCTAGGTGTTAGGAGGTGTTAGTGTGAACATTAGAACAATTTAGAAAGGTGCATGTAGGTCTATTGTCCATATGGGACAACTATTATTTTAACCTAAGCTCTTATATAAATATGTTGATAAGACCACACACTAGAAGTAGAAGGGACGACGACGTTTCGGTCCGTCCTGGACCATTCTCAAGTCTGAATCGACTTGAGAATGGTCCAGAACGGACCGAAACGTCGTCGTCCCTTCTACTTCTAGTGTGTGGTCTTGTCAACATACTTCAGCCACGTTATTGTGACTCATCGCCTCTTATATAAATAATTATAATATAGTTTATATAGTATGGGAAACCGGCTGCTCCCAGATCTCTCACCTCACATCCCATGTCCTTTTCCCCTCATTACTCTCTCTCATCTCCTCTTTCCTTATTTCCCAATCGCCCCTCTTTCCCCACTTCCTTTCACGTCCCAGCTCGTGTCTTCTCCTCTTCCTCTCTCCTTCCCTTTCGCTCAACATCTCCCCTCTCTCTTCCCCCTTTCTCTCTTTCAATCTCTCTCGGTCTGTCTCATTTTTTCCGTCTGTCTCTGTCTCTATCAGTTTTTCTGTCCCAGAAAATGTAAAATTGGTATTTGAATTAATTCACTTAGTTATTTGAACTCTACGGAAAACACAACCCATGATTTTATTTCAGACTTCATGAAAACTGCAGTGGTCGCTATAGACGCCGATTTTCTTAAATTGTGGGACTGGGGCTGACCTCCTACTGGCCTTTAACACTACCATAACACCGCCCTACACATCTGCCCTGCAACCTCGGACAGTCAGACACCAATTATAAATCTAGCCGATACTTAAACAAAATCAAATGATCCCTCATGTATTTTGTTATCCGGTAATTTGTTCCATTAATTAGCCACCATGTTCCCAAACCAACATTTATCCAGGTTATTTTCTGAAAACTTATCCAGCTTATATCCATTCTTTGGTGTTCCTTTTTGTGTTGGTGGATTTAGCACTTTAATAGTATCCCTCTCGGTATACATTTTCATCCATTTGTATACTCTAATCATGTCGACTTTTACGCTTCACCTTTGTATAGAATTAAGCTTTCTTAATCCCAGGAATTAAAAACACAAGAAGACAAGGCTGATGACCTGTGTAAGTGAGGAAGATGTCAACTCTACTGGTGTAAATAAGTTTGTAAATATATTTGTAAATATACACCACCAACCCTTGACCACTGGGGTGCCAGTGCCACCACCAACCCTTGACCACTGGGGTGCCAGTCCCCACCACCAACCCTTGACCACTGGGGTGCCAGTGCCACCACCAACCCTTGACCACTGGGGTGCCAGTGCCACCACCAACCCTTGACCACTGGGGTGCCAGTCCCACCACCAACCCTTGACCACTGGGGTGCCAGTGCCACCACCAACCCTTGACCACTGGGGTGCCAGTCCCACCACCAACCCTTGACCACTGGGGTGCCAGTCAGCCACCACCAACCCTTGACCACTGGGGTGCCAGTCCCACCACCAACCCTTGACCACTGGGGTGCCAGTCCCACCACCAACCCTTGACCACTGGGGTGCCAGTCCCCACCACCAACCCTTGACCACTGGGGTGCCAGTCGCCACCACCAACCCTTGACCACTGGGGTGCCAGTGCCACCACCAACCCTTGACCACTGGGGTGCCAGTCCCACCACCAACCCTTGACCACTGGGGTGCCAGTCCCACCACCAACCCTTGACCACTGGGGTGCCAGTCCCACCACCAACCCTTGACCACTGGGGTGCCAGTCCCACCACCAACAACAGGAGACACTCACCGCTAGTGTTCCACATGTGACACTGGTCTGAGGACAGCTCTCCACGTAATCCTTTCTCGATATGGGTGACGGGGTCCAGCTCAGAGGTGAGGAGCTCCCGGAGGAGGGCGATGTAGGCGATGGCCAGCCGCAGGGTGTCGATCTTACTCAGGCGCTTCTCGTAGGGGAAGGTTGGTACGTGGGTCCGCAGCTCCTCGAAGGCTGAGTTTATACTGCTGGGGGGGTAGTCTGGACTAGTATTATAACAACAACGAGTGAGGAATGTTTTATCCCAAAAGGGAAGATGGGAAGAACGTAGCGGAGTAGCGGAGACGAACGTAGCGGAGTAGCGGAGAGGAACGTAGTGGAGTAGCAGGGGGAGGAACGTAGCGGAGTAACGGAGAGGAACGTAGCGGAGTAGCAGGGGGAGGAACGTAGCAGAGCAGCGGAGAGGAACGTAGCGGAGTAGCAGGGGAGGAACGTAGCGGAGTACCGGAGACGAACGTAGCGGAGTAGCGGAGAGGAAAGTAGCGGAGTAGAAGGGGAGGAACGTAGCGGAGTACCGGAGACGAACGTAGCTGAGTAGCGGAGACGAACGTAGCGGAGTAGCGGAGAGGAACGTAGCGGAGTAGCAGGGGGAGGAACGTAGCAGAGCAGCGGAGAGGAACATAGCGGAGTAGCGGAAAGGAACGTAGCAGAGTAGCGGAGAGGAACGTAGCGGAGTAGCAGGGAAAGAACGTAGCGGAATAGCATGGAAAGAACGTAGCGGAGTAGCAGGGAAAGAACGTAGCATAAATCAGGGAAGGAGCGTTGCAATGAACCTGGACAGGAACGAAGCGGTTTATCAGGAGCAAAAAGGATATCCTGAATATCCTGAACCCAGGATATCCATAGTGGCTAAGATGAGGGTTGTAGCCAGGACGGCAACAGATAGGTTTTAAAATAAATCTAAATTAAAAAGGTAAATTATATCACTATAATAACGACTGGACAGTATATCATATTAGTATAATTATTACCACTGAATGGCTGGATCAGGAGTATGCTCAGATCAACGGGTGGGAAAATTAGTATGTGAACAGCTGCACATGTGGATAGACCATTAATATATCAAATATGCACATATTCATGTAAACAGGTGGGGCAAGTCAAGAGCAGAGGAAGTCAACAGGCAGAAGAGTTCAACAGTTCACACTAACAGGTTGGTTTGAACAGAACGTTTACAGATCAATAAGTAGGAACACTAATCAGTGAATCAGTCAATCCTGCAACAAATGTATAAATTATTGTGATAAATAGTTGCAAGACAATAGGTGGACAGGTCAAGTCAAGCTGAATAATAATTGAAATCAACTGTTGGACCGAACAACAGGGGCCAGATTCACGAAAGCACTTACGCAAGCACTTACGAACGTGTACATCTTTCCGCAATCTTTGACGGCTTTGGTTACATTTATTAAACAGTTTACAAGCATGAAAACTTCCCATTCAACTATTGTTGTTGTTATAAACAGCCTCCTGGTGCTTCGGAGCTCATTAACTGTTTAATAATTGGAAACAAAGCCGCCAAAGATTGAGAAAAGATGTACAGGTTCGTAAGTGCTTGCCTAAGTGCTTTCGTGAATCTGGCCTCAGGTGAGTAAGTCAACATCATTTAAGTTTCACAGGTGAGCAGGTCAACAGATAGTTAGTACGTGAGAATAAAGAAATCTTCAGGTCTATTGGCTCGAATTTATAACCAGTCATATTAAAATATTTATCGCACTTATGCTTTAAAATGTGAGTGAGTTTGCTTCTATAATGTTATATAATAACAAGTGCCACAAATCCCCAATCCTATTTCCAAACCAGCGTTTACCTATTAATTTTTAAAACCAAAACTAGGATTGATTTTTATAAATTCTATTTATATTCCACATGTTAAAATCCCTTTGGTCATCTATAGATTTCAATAATGTTCGCTCTACACTTTTCCATGGAAATTGAATTTACTCTTCTTTACTCTCTTTATAAAGAACGCTTCTAATTGTTGACCAGACCACACACTAGAAGGTGAAGGGACGACGACGTTTCGATCCGTCCTGGACCATTCTCAAGTCGATTGTCTCACAATCGACTTGAGAATGGTCCAGGATGGACTGAAACGTCGTCGTTCCTTCACCTTCTAGTGTGTGTTCTGGTCAACATACTTTAGCCACGTTATTGTGACTCATCGCCTGCAAACGCTTTTAATTCCCCAAATATACTTAATTATTATCTGTATATTCACAAGTGCATTTTCATTTATTCTTTATTCATGTTATGTTCATGTTCATGTTCATGTTCTTTGTTCATGTTCTTTGTTCATGTTTATGTTCGAAGCTGAATTCCATTATCCGAGCGGTGTGATCTCTCAAGTGCAAAGAATGTTGAAGAATGATTATTCCTGCGTCTGCAAATGAATCAGATTATTCTTCGTTTATGTATAATCTTTTTTTTTTCATTTTAAATCCCTGCTAATCATGATTAACAGATAATTTTGACAAATTGATTTGTAAATTTCAAAATTCTTATCTAGATCTCTGACACCTTTGTTTTGTATTCCTGAAGCAAGAACCAAAAATTTGTTAGCAGTGATTTGTATCTGCCTATTTTCAGTTCATTTTGAAATCTAAGTTATGTTACGTCTTCACTTGTGTGAATATATAATCAGGCAAATTTACTATTTTTCATTTTGATTTTAGTATCTTTTCACCATTTGTGAGTCCAACCACTTGGGCTCGACGATAGAGCGACGGTCTCGCTTCATGCAGGTCGGCGTTCAATCCCCGACCGTCCAAGTGGTTGGGCACTATTCCTTCCTCCGTCCCATCCCAAATCCTTATCCTGACCCCTTACCAGTGCTATATAGTCGTGATGGCTTGGCGCTTTCCCTTTGATAGTTCCCTTCCCTTCACCATTTGTGATGAAAAGAGTCACCATCTTTTACTTCCTGTTTAATAACCATGTCATATTCCACGTATTATTCCCCCAAGTACCTCGTGGAAAACTATCAAAATACTCATATAACTTGCAAATGTACATTAATGACACTATGTAAAAGACACATCGAATACTTTATGTAGGGCATATGTAAATCTGTGCATCTATGTATTTACGTAAGTAGGTTAGCTTAACATTTTAAAAGCACTAGAATCACCTTCTGTGGTTGATTGTTCAATAAACCCTTGAACTATATGTTTAACAGATCTCTAACCCTGTCCATGGAGGACAGAGGAAAATGTTTAAATGTTGGTTAGCATTGTAAATGTGTGGCCACGTCTGTGGTAGAAAAAAACCCTCATATAACTATAGGAATATAATAATATTTAACACAGTCTGCTGCTTCAGATGTCTGAAGAAATGAGAGAAAACTGGCTAAACAAGACCATCCTTTTTGTAAAGCCACATAAAGCCTTTACCACATAAAGGCTTTTGTAAAGCCTTTTGTGGTAAAGCCACAAAGCCAAATGAAGATGAGTCATCAAACTCTGTTTTTCAAGATAATAAAATTTACTAATATCGATTCAAGTAATTTTATTCATAACTGACGTTGAATAATTGAACGAAAATTGAATGAGTTTCAAAATTTGTTTATTACCTTCTGAAGTTTAGAACAGTAATCAACACAAGTGATATACTGAACATGCTTTCTAAGGGTAGTGGTGGTGGTCCTGATCCACAAGGTGGATCTGATTCACAAGGTGGTTCTGATTCACAAGGTAATTCTGATCCACGTCACCGAGGTCCGCTCTCTGACCAGAAGTGTACTGAACTCTTCAATACATTATTTTAAGACCCTTGTAAATACTTCTTCGGGAAGCATCAGATGGTCAGCAGACGAGAAGGGGCAACAGATGAGAAGTTTCAATTGGTCAGAGGTCAACAGGTGAGGTCAACAGGAGAGGTGAACAGGTGAACAGGTGGAAAAGGGGGGGGGGCTAAATATACTCACCTGAGCATTCGTTTCCTCTCCCTGATGTTAGCGGCGTGGCGCTGGACCCGGTAAGGTGAACCCGTCGGGTAGTACTCATCTTCGCCTTCCTCCCCTGTGCAGGAACAGAGAACCGGGTAATAAGAACCGGGTCACAAAAACCAGGTCATGAGAACCGGATTATCAAAACCGGGTCATTAGAACCGGGTAATGAAAACCGGCTTATTACTGTTGTGCTTAAGGGCTATCAACCTCTGGAGGGTTATTAAGGCCAGGCAAGTGCTTATTGACCAGCCACTTTATATATATATATATATATATATATATATATATATATATATATATATATATATATATATATATATATATATATATATATATATATTAGTATATTTTGGTAGCAGTCTTTCCTGTAGACATATATTATTAAATATGACCGAAAAAGTAAGATTAATAATTCTAACACGAATTTTCTCAATCTTTCGTACATTACGCTTCACTGTTGGAGGTAAATCAAAAATCACTTCTCCAAAATTCATTTTTATTTCTAGTCTGACGCGACACGGGCGCGTTTCGTAAAACTTATTACATTTTCAAAGACTTCACAAATACACAACTGAATAGAACTTGCGTTTCCCTGATTTTATATCTACATTTGAGTGAGGTGGGAAGGGTGATGTGGCATTACATTTGAGTGAGGTGGGAAGGGTGATGTGGCATTAACACAAGACAGAACACTAGGGGATATTAATAGGGTATTAAAAGTATCAACACAAGACAGAACAGAAACAATGGGTATTGAATAGAAGTGTTTGTAGAAAGCCTATTGGTCCATATTTCTTGATGCTTCTATATTGGAGCGGAGTCTTGAGGTGGGTAGAATATAGTTGTGCAATAATTGGCTGTTGATTGCTGGTGTTGACTTCTTGATGTGTAGTGCCTCGCAAACGTCAAGCCGCCTGCTATCGCTGTATCTATCGATGATTTCTGTGTTGATTACTAGGATTCCTCTGGCGATGGTTTGGTTATGGGAAGAGATTATATGTTCCTTAATGGAGCCCTGTTGTTTATGCATCGTTAAACGCCTAGAAAGAGATGTTGTTGTCTTGCCTATATACTGGTTTTTTTGGAGCTTACAGTCCCCAAGTGGGCATTTGAAGGCATAGACGACGTTAGTCTCTTTTAAAGCGTTCTGTTTTGTGTCTGGAGAGTTTCTCATGAGTAGGCTGGCCGTTTTTCTGGTTTTATAGTAAATCGATTTACTATAAAACCAGAAAAACGGCCAGCCTACTCATGAGAAACTCTCCAGACACAAAACAGAACGCTTTAAAAGAGACTAACGTCGTCTATGCCTTCAAATGCCCACTTGGGGACTGTAAGCTCCAAAAAACCCAGTATATAGGCAAGACAACAACATCTCTTTCTAGGCGTTTAACGATGCATAAACAACAGGGCTCCATTAAGGAACATATAATCTCTTCCCATAACCAAACCATCGCCAGAGAAATCCTAGTAAACAACACAGAAATCATCGATAGATACAGCGATAGCAGGCGGCTTGACGTTTGCGAGGCACTACACATCAAGAAGTCAACACCAGCAATCAACAGCCAATTATTGCACAACTATATTCTACCCACCTCAAGACTCCGCTCCAATATAGAAGCATCAAGAAATATGGACCAATAGGCTTTCTACAAACACTTCTATTCAATACCCATTGTTTCTGTTCTGTCTTGTGTTGATACTTTTAATACCCTATTAATATCCCCTCCTGTTCTGTCTTGTGTTAATGCCACATCACCCTTACCACCTCACTCAAATGTAGATATAAAATCAGAGATACGTTCTAATCAGTTGTGTATTTGTGAAGTCTTTGAAAATGTAATAAGTTTTACGAAACGCGCCCGTGTCGCGTCAGACTAGAAATAAAAATGAATTTTGGAGAAGTGATTTTTGATTTACCTCCAACAGTGAAGCGTAATGTACGAAAGATTGAGAAAATTCGTGTTAGAATTATTAATCTTACTTTTTCGGTCATATTTAATAATATATATATATATATATATATGGTATGGCCAGTAATTATGTGGTAACTAAGTCTATGAGAGAGAGAGAGAGAGAGAGAGAGAGAGAGAGAGAGAGAGAGAGAGAGAGAGAGAGAGAGAGAGAGAGAGAGAGAGAGAGAGAGAAAGAGAGAGAAGAAAATGAAGACAGAAAAGGTCCCTTCTTGAAGAAAGAAAAGGTCCAAAAGAATCTCAAGGCCCTTGCAGATCGCCGCCATTTTGGCTGGCAGAAGACGCGGGGTATTGATTTTGGCGCGAAAACCTCCATCTTGACCCAGCAATACCACGCCCTCCACGATACTCTACAGTAAGGTAAACAAATGATCAGACTTCATTGTCTGATCATCGTACACGTACGCGGTTTTAATGTGCTTGTACGTTAAAACCACGACGATTCGACCAGAAATATCTATCTGTCTTGGTTAAGTTGGGTTTCAACGGATGTGTTTAGGGTAAACTTTGTTATGGGTGGATTAAGTTTGGCTGTAATGGTTTCCGATATATCGTGATTATATATTTAAGTTGGTAAGATTCTGTTAGCGAGGCAACGGCTAATGCCACACTGGTGTTGAATAACATAATTATAGGAAGATTCCAATGAGACCTCCCAGATACAATGATGCAAAACAAAATCGCAAAGTATGAATGGAATACAGCATCCCTGTAAGAATATTACAACATGAAATCTATAAAGGAATAATACATCATGACACTAAATAGTAAGAATATACCATGACTCCTACATAAGAATACATGACACCTCCATGGGAAGAATACACTATGACACCCACATAAGAAGAATACAACATACCTACATAAGAAGAATACAACATGACACCTACACGGAGAAGCAGTACGACACCTACATACAATGAATACAACATGACACTTACATAAGAATGCAACATAACAATTACATAAGAATATAACATGACTAACAAGAATATAACTCCATAGTCTCCTGAGACTGATGGATCCCTACTACTATAACATGACACCTTCATGCGATGAATACATGACACCTACATAGGAAGAACATATGACACCTATACAGGAAGAATACAGTATACATGGAGTGCGTTTTGGGAGTTCTTCTAAATCCCAAGTCCAGCCTGACACCAGACATGACTTGGGACAAATTGGTCTTTCAGGCTGTTGCTTGGATCAGGCCGCAAACCCAACTACCCATTACAGCCTGGCTGGTCCATCACTTGCTACTGGAACTTGTCTCATTGTTTCTAGAACTCGTCCACCTTTGCTTCAGCAGTATTTCTGATGTTTGTTGGTAGAATACTGAATAGCCGTGGACCTCTGATGTTCAGTGCTTCCTGATTGTCTCTATCGCACCTCTACTCTTAGCTAGGTGTATGCTGCATTTCCCACCATTTCGTTCGCTCCAGTATGTACTAACCTAGAAGTATGTTGTTATTTAACTATGTAACTCAGGGGCTTGGCCTTCCAGTCTCTTCCATGTATATATTATGGTATCTCTATCATCTCCCTTCTTGTGAGTACATTTCGAGAGCTTGGAGACGGTCCCAATAATTTCGGTGCTCTATCGTGTTGATGAGTGCCATATATGTTGTCTGTATTCCCTCTATTTCGGAAATAACTTCTGCTTTGAATGGGAAAATGAGCACCTGTTTGAATTGCAGCATTTTCTTTATTGGGATATTTGTGTCTGTTTAAGCATTTCAGTTATTCTTTTCCTTCTTTCGTATAATAGTATTATCTTTCTAAGTAGCTCCTCTTTTTGCTCCTCCGCAGAGGAAAAAATTTCAGGCAAACTTTGCACGCTTCGGCAGTCAAGTGCTCTGTTCCTTGAGTGGAAGTTCCGATACTTAAGACGGTTTCACATTGCATATTTGCATGATTTCAATAGGAGAAATACTTAAGAAAACCTCCATAAGAAGGATAAACGCAACTTGAGACCTCCGTAGGAAGAATACAACATGCCACCTACATAGACAAAATGCATGACACCTTCATAGGAAAAATACAACAAGACACCTTTATACAGTAGATGGAATACAACATGACGTCTGCATATGAAGAATACACCATAGCAATTAAATAAGTAAAAATATAATAAAACTCTCCCATAGAAATATTCCAACATATTTCCAGAGCAAAGACACACTATGCTACTCCCATGGCAATAACACACTTTGACACTCCCATGGCAATAACACACTTTGGCACTCCCATGGCAATAACACACTTTGACACTCCCATGGCAATAACACACTTTGGCACTCCCATGGCAATAACACACTTTGGCACTCCCATGGCAATAACACACTTTGGCACTCCCATGGCAATAACACACTTTGGCACTCCCATGGCAATAACACACTTTGGCACTCCCATGGCAATAACACACTTTGGCACTCCCATGGCAATAACACACTTTGACACTCCCATGGCAATAACACACTTTGGCACTCCCATGGCAATAACACACTTTGGCACTCCCATGGCAATAACACACTTTGGCACTCCCATGGCAATAACACACTTTGGCACTCCCATGGCAATAACACACTTTGGCACTCCCATGGCAATAACACACTTTGGCACTCCCATGGCAATAACACACTTTGGCACTCCCATGGCAATAACACACTTCAGCACTCCCATGGCAATAACACACTTCAGCACTCCCATGGCAATAACACACTTTGGCACTCCCATGGCAATAACACACTTTGACACTCCCATGGCAATAACACACTTTGGCACTCCCATGGCAATAACACACTTTGGCACTCCCATGGCAATAACACACTTTGGCACTCCCATGGCAATAACACACTTTGGCACTCCCATGGCAATAACACACTTCAGCACTCCCATGGCAATAACACATGGCACTCCCATGGCAATAACACACTTTGGCACTCCCATGGCAATAACACACTTTGGCACTCCCATGGCAATAACACACTTTGGCACTCCCATGGCAATAACACACTTTGGCACTCCCATGGCAATAACACACTTTGGCACTCCCATGGCAATAACACACTTTGGCACTCCCATGGCAATAACACACTTTGGCACTCCCATGGCAATAACACACTTTGGCACTCCCATGGCAATAACACACTTTGGCACTCCCATGGCAATAACACACTTTGGCACTCCCATGGCAATAACACACTTTGGCACTCCCATGGCAATAACACACTTTGGCACTCCCATGGCAATAACACACTTTGGCACTCCCATGGCAATAACACACTTTGGCACTCCCATGGCAATAACACACTTTGGCACTCCCATGGCAATAACACACTTTGGCACTCCCATGGCAATAACACACTTCAGCACTCCCATGGCAATAACACACTTCAGCACTCCCATGGCAATAACACACTTTGGCACTCCCATGGCAATAACACACTTTGACACTCCCATGGCAATAACACACTTTGGCACTCCCATGGCAATAACACACTTTGGCACTCCCATGGCAATAACACACTTTGGCACTCCCATGGCAATAACACACTTTGGCACTCCCATGGCAATAACACACTTTGGCACTCCCATGGCAATAACACACTTTGGCACTCCCATGGCAATAACACACTTTGGCACTCCCATGGCAATAACACACTTTGGCACTCCCATGGCAATAACACACTTTGGCACTCCCATGGCAATAACACACTTTGGCACTCCCATGGCAATAACACACTTTGGCACTCCCATGGCAATAACACACTTTGGCACTCCCATGGCAAAACACACTTCAGCACTCCCATGGCAAGCACACACTTCAGCACTCCCATGACAAAAACACACTTCAGAACCCCCATGACAAGAACACACTTCACCACTCCCATGGCAAGAACACAATTCACCACTCCCATGGCAAGAACACAATTCACCACTCCCATGGCAAGAACACAATTCACCACTCCCATGGCAAGAACACATTTCAGCACTTCCACGGCAAGCACACACTTCAACACTCCCATAGCAAGCACACACTACACCCCTCCACGGTATGTGGGGGCAGATTGGACAAAACAGTTACTGTGGGAGGAATGGGAGGAATTAGGAAACAACCCCTACTGTGGGAGGTGTCAAGACAAAACAGAGACTCTCCCAGTAGAAAATGGATGCGTCATCATTCTGACCGTGGGAGGAGTGGGGCCGACAGACCACTCACCATGGGTGTGGGAGGACAGGACACTCACCGTGGGAGGTGTGAGGGACAGGACACTCACCGTGGGAGGTGTGGGAGGACAGGACACTCACCGTGGGAGGTGGGAGAGGACAGGACACTCACCGTGGGAGGTGTGGGAGGACAGGACACTCACCGTGGGAGGTGTGAGGGACAGGACACTCACCGTGGGAGGTGTGAGGGACAGGACACTCGCCGTGGGAGGTGTGAGGGACAGGACACTCACCGTGGGAGGTGTGAGGGACAGGACACTCACCGTGGGAGGTGTGAGGGACAGGACACTCGCCGTGGGAGGTGTGAGGGACAGGACACTCACCGTGGGAGGTGTGAGGGACAGGACACTCACCGTGGGAGGTGTGAGGGACAGGACACTCACCGTGGGATGTGTGAGGGACAGGACACTCACCGTGGGAGGTGTGAGGGACAGCACACTCACCGTGGGAGGTGTGAGGGACAGGACACTCACCGTGGGACAGGTGTGAGGGACAGGAGGGACAGGACACTCACCCGCACACTCACCGTGGGAGGTGTGAGGGGGACAGGGGACACTCACCGTGGGAGGTGTGAGGGACAGGCCACTCACCGTGGGAGGTGTGAGGGACAGGCCACTCACCGTGGGAGGTGTGAGGGACAGGGCACTCACCGTGGGAGGGGTGAGGGACAGGACACTCACCGTGGGAGGTGTGAGGGACAGGCCACTCACCGTGGGAGGGGTGAGGGACAGGACACTCACCGTGGGAGGTGTGAGGGACAGGACACTCACCGTGGGAGGTGTGAGGGACAGGCCACTCACCGTGGGAGGTGTGAGGGACAGGCCACTCACCGTGGGAGGTGTGAGGGACAGGAACTCACCGTGGACGAGGAAGGGCAGGCCATGGAGGTGCGGATGAGCGAAGGCACATGAAGGTAATTCTTCATCCTCACAGTAAGCTGACTGCTGCTGCTGCTGCTGCATGCTGTTCTGCCTGCTGACGCTGTTGCTGTTGGTGGTGGAGCTGCTGCTGCTGCTGCTGACGACGCCACCTGCTGACACCTGCGACGGAACACCAGCTGTGAAGGCGGCGCCGTAGTCCCCTAGTTGTATAGCAGGTGGGGCGGTCACCACCTGGCTTACCACCTGCCCCAACTGGCTTAGACAGTTGCCCACGTTATTGTTGGGACTGGTGTTGCCCACCTCTGCCCTACCTGGCTGTTGGTGGGCGTGGTGGCCGTATGGGTGGGCGTACTGCTGTCCCGGGGGCGTGTGGTTCTGTGGCAAGGAGGTGAAAAACTCCGCGTAGGGCGCCGCGACCTGAGAGGCAGGCGTGACCTGACCACAGCCGACCTGGCGACGTACTGCCGCCACCGACCCGACCAACGCCTCTGCCATGCTGCCTCTCAACCTCCACTTTTTGTCCTCTGTCACGAAAGACTGACGCTCACGGGCTAAAAATTGAAATTCTGACTCGGCCACGGGGGTCCCCTGCTTCCTGGAATTGACAGTGCTCTTAATGGTGGTGATGTATACTGGCGAATCTATTTCTCGCCCGACTGGTGCACTTGGTGAGGGTGCTGGAGGGTCGACGAGCCCACCAATGAGAGAGCGCGGTCTGATTGTAGTGCCGAGTGGCCCTGACAGCAGACATATTGGTTCCCGGCCCTTCATCTCCCTTATACCACCTAGGGATGACAGTCCCACCTGACTCCCTCCACCTCGGCGTCGTCCAGAAGCCCTTCTCTTATCTGTATCTCCCTGGACTCTGACGTCACTCATTTCCAGCCAACCAAAATTGCGGGATTTCTCTGGTAAGGCTTTCTCATTGGCCAATATTATAGATTCGAAGCATTACACGCTCGAGGCAATTCAGAATTCACAGGAAACTTGGGATGCAACTGGCTCCGCCCACGGTGAATAAACACATAGGATTGGTTCTCGAGCGCTTGATCGATCGGGGGGCAACCAATCGGGAGCCGGAACGAAGCCTTGCGACCAATCACGAGCAACTGCCGACGTCTGGGAAAATATTTAACTCCCTGGGAAACACAACAAAACAAGTGAATTGGCGTAAAGAGTTATTTAAATTTATTCAGATTTCAAAATCGAGGATAATACTTGAGAGAAAAAATAATAAAATAATTATCTCACTCAAAATATTGTATAAATTAAATATCCACAAAACATATAAACACCAAAATAAATGTTGTGTCAAAAAAAGAACAAAAATTTGTAAAAAATTATCTCGTCTAAATACATAAACGCTAATTTGTTACAAAATAACAGAAATTAACTATAATCACACCTGGAGTTACTGGAATTGTTAATTACTAATTCATCAATCTGGAAACGAGCATAATCATCACTCACATACCTCATTAAGGAGAAGAGTCAAAACATACATACATCATTAAGAAGCATAAACAAATGCTCTCTCACAACATTAATGAGCATAATTAATATTCTCTCACAACATTAAGGAGCATAATTAATACTATCTCACAACATTAATGAGCATAATTAATCTCTCTCACAACATTAATGAGCATAATTAATATTCTCTCACAACATTAAGGAGCATAATTAATACTCTCTCACAACATTAATGAGCATAATTAATACTCTCTCACAACATTAAGGAGCATAATTAATACTCTCTCACACATTAAGGACATTCACAGCATGAGCATAATTAATACTCTCTCACAACATTAAGGAGCATAATTAATATTACATTAAGGAGCATAATTAATACTCTCTCACAACATTAATATTACTATCTCACAACATTAAGGAGCATAATTAATACTCTCTCATTAAGGAGCACTCTCTCACACATTAAGGAGCATAATTAATACTCTCTCACAACATTAAGGAGCATAATTAATACTCTCTCACAGCATTAAGGAGCATAATTAATACTATCTCACAACATTAAGGAGCATAATTAATACTCTCTCACAGCATTAAGGAGCATACTCAACACACACACAACACAAGTAGTCCCTCAGCAAGATTTTTTTTGTTTGCAATATTCCCAACAGCTGATTACAAGCACATTATTCTCTATTGACGTAGTTTGCATTTACGTCTATGTCCATAGTAACGTCCAGATTGTACTGCAGTTTGCTATCAATCTTGAAGTGAGTGGAGTGTGCTCATCTTTTAACAATGTGTGGTCATACACGGTCAACAATCGACTTGAGAATGGTCCAGGACGGACCGAAACGTCGTCGTCCCTTCACTGTCTAGTGTGTGGTTTGGTCAACATACTTCAGCCACGTTATTGTGACTCCTCGCCTGCATACACGGTCAACTGCAAGGGCTTTGCACAGTCGTGCGGAGGAGTAACTTATCTATTTTTTAGTCTGTGTTGGTGTAGGTAGACGTGGATGAGGTGGAGGCGCTATGGAGAGCAACGGTCTGGCTCAGCACCTTGTATCTCACCTACTAGGTGTGGGGGTCTATGGACAATACAGAACACCCAATGTTCTGTATTGTCCATAGACCTGGTGGATGATGTCTGTTGTGTCTCGTTGTGGATTAGTTATCACCTGCAACTTCTTGTTGCTCGTATCACCAACCGACTCGTAGCGCAGTGGGCTCACAGCCGATTGGACCCGAGTGCAAGGAAACATGCTCCAGTATGTACACATATCCTAGCACCTGATGCTTCGATTCATCTAGCTGGTATCGTCGACTGTTGTGGGTTGCATTCTTGGGATGGTCAGTCGTTGATTTAGGGGGTCCTCGGTAAACACAGCAGGCTTCCTGTCCCCTGATCGACAATGAGAAACCAGGTCCTGTTATCACCTCCTGTCCACTTTACACGTCTAATGCGGTTTCTCGAGATATCCCACAAGATCTTGCTTCGGTGAGTTGGTCCTCTCACAATCGACTTGAGAATGGTCCAGGACGGACCGAAACGTCGTCGTCCCTTCACCTTCTAGTGTGTGGTCTGGTCATCTCTCTCAGTTCTGATGCTTTTGTGTTTGACGTGTAAATGATTTAGCCTGATTGATGATATTTATTGCAACTGCCTTCCACTTTAAGTTCTCTTAAGGGTCCCATATAGTTCCTGCCAGCGTCTCTGATCCCAGAGCCAAGTGGTGTGTGACACCACACATCATAGCAATATGGAAGTTGTAGTTAAGGACCTGGTGACTCTAGTGGGAGCCCTGAGGACAGAGTTGGACTCTCTGCGGGAGGAGGTGCGTCAGCTTAAAAAACAACGAGAAGTAACGAAGGAGGAGACCAGCAGTAAAGGGACCTCGTCTTGGAGAGTTGCGAAAGACAGGGGCCTTAAGAAGACTTTGATAAAGCCGCCTTCAAACGCCATAGCAACTTCAAATTCATTTGACGTTTTGGAGGACGAGTGCTGTGGAGAGACTGTGGATCGCGCAAAAGGGAAAGCAACGAAGAGAAAGGAAGCGCAGGCCCCTCAGAAAGTAAAGGAAGTACCTAAGCAAACATTAGTTGTGGGAGATTCCCAGATAAGGTATTTGGATAGAACGTTTTGTGCTAGAGATAGGGGGAACAGGTTAAGGGTTTGCTATCCCGGAGCTGGCATTGGTGATATTATAAACAACATGAATGATATTATGGCTGGTAATGGGAACAATCCCATTATTTGCATTAGCGTGGGAGGAAATGATGTTGGTCGAGTCAGGAGTGAGGAACTGATTCAGAGGTATAAAACAGCCATAGAGTTAGTTAGGAGCAAGGGAGGAATCCCGATCATATGTGGCATTCTTCCAAGAAAGGGAGTGGGAAATGAATGGATATCGAGGGCACTTGGTGTCAATTGCCGGCTGGAAAGATATTGCAAATCAAATGCAATATCTTTCATAGACAACTGGGAACACTTCTATGGAAGAAATGAAATGTATGCTCGTGATGGGGTGCATCTATCGAGAGCTGGGGTTGTTGCTGTTGCGAACTCGCTAGAAGAAGTGGTTAGAGGGGTTTGTTTGGGTTTAAACTGTTAGTAGATAGAGGTATGGGAATTGATTTGGAGGAAGGAGGTAATAAAAGTATGTGTTTGTGGGAGAAAGGAATTGGCAAAACGATCAGGGAAAGAGAAGGTCCGCAAAATAACAATTCACTTAGGGTATATTACACTAACAGTAGAAGTCTAAGAAATAAAATTAACGAATTAAATGCTCTTGTCTGCACAGAAAAAATAGATATTATTGCACTTACCGAAACGTGGATGAATGTAGAAAATAGAGAACTATTAGCTGAATATCAAATATATGGATTTAAACTATTTCACACAGATAGATATATTAGACGAGGAGGTGGAGTAGCCATATATGTTAGGGACAATTTGAAATGTAGTCTCAAAGAGGGAATCAAAACAGAGCCACACACAGAAACTATTTGGATTGAATTAAACGAAAAAGCTAATAATATTATAATAGGAGTAATATATAGGCCACCAAATTTAGACAGAATGGAAGCAAAGCATCTATGGGATGAAATATCTAGAGCATCTAGATCTAACAGTATTTATGTCATGGGTGACTTTAATTTTAGCGGAATAAACTGGTTGAACAAAACAGGGAATAGTGAAGCAGAAGATTTTCTAGAATTAATTGACGATTGCTTTCTTACGCAACACATTAAGGAACCAACACGGGAAAATAATATTTTAGATTTAGTGTTAACTAACAGGGAAACGCAAATTAATGACATCGAAATAGGGAGTGAGCTAGGGAGCAGTGATCACAAAGAAATCAGATTTAGCATAGAATGGAATAGACCAGTAGGAGAAAATTCTGTTAAAGTGCCAGATTTTCGAAAAGCTGATTTTAATAGCCTAAGAAATTTTTTGGGTCAAATTGATTGGAAAGGCTTGGGTATGGGGTGTGGGCCGGTCTTGGAGCGAGACATGAACCCAGCGATAGGTGACTTAAATGGGGATTTCGATGTGGATTCAATATATAACTTATTTAAGAATATTCTAAACAAAGCACAGGAACGTAGTATACCATACAAATTGAATAGATCGTATACTAATGACCCAAAGTGGATATCAAAGAATTTGAAGAACCTTATAGGTAAAAAGAGAGCTTGGTACAAAAGGATTAAAAATGGGGAGGTCACTTTAGAACAGGAATTCGTACAACTGGTTAGAAATGTTAAAAAAGAGATAAGGAAAGCAAAAAGAAACTATGAAGTTCGCATAGCAGGGCAAGCAAAGACAAATCCTAAAGGGTTTTTTCAGTTATATCGTACTAAGACTAGGGAAAGGATAGGTCCATTAAAAACTGAGACAGGTCAAATAACAGATAGTGATGAAGAGATGAGTAGTATTTTTAATAAATATTTTGTATCTGTATTTACTAAAGAGGAACTTAACAATATGCCTTCAGCCGAACAAGTCTATGTGGGTGGGGACGAGGACAGGTTGACGAGTTTAGCAGTTACCAGGGAGGATGTTCTTAAACAAATAGTAAAACTCAAACCAAACAAATCCCCAGGGCCGGATGAAGTGTTTGCTAGGGTGCTTAAAGAATGCAAAGAGGAGCTTTGTGACCCACTGTCAACCATATTTAATAAATCAATAGAGTCAGGCAGAGTGCCAGAGTTTTGGAAAGTTGCTAATGTGATACCAGTTTTTAAGAAAGGAGATAGATCACTTGCGTCTAACTATCGACCAATTAGCCTAACGTCTATTGTGGGAAAGTTACTCGAATCTATAATAGCAAATAAAATTCGTCTTCATCTTGAAAAACATAAATTAATAATTGAGTCGCAACATGGTTTTATAAATGGCCGTTCATGTTTAACAAATTTGTTATCTTTTTATTCTAGCATTGTTGAGGCAGTTGATAGTGGTAAGGATTGCGATGTTGTATACCTTGACTTTAGCAAAGCTTTTGATACAGTGCCACATGAAAGACTGATTAAAAAAAATAGAGTCTCATGGTATTGGGGGTGCTATATTAAGCTGGATTAGGGCATGGCTATACCAAAGGAAACAGAGAGTTAGTA